GAGTCGATAGATGACCGCTTAGGTTCTTATTTTAAATGGTTGTGTCAGTGAAGTCTTTGACTTTGGGATTTCCCATAGCCTTTTATGATGAATTGCTATTTTGATAATGTTGCTGCTCAGCGAAGAGTCGGGGAAGTTTTGCCTGATTACCGGCGTCTTATTCTCCGGATCGTCATTGGTGCATATGGACGATCTGAGTTTAGTTATGTCAGTGTTTGCTGTTCAGATTCACGAGATCTGACTACATGTCGTACGTTATGCATTCATACTCTAAATGTTATTTTCGTTTATGTTGCTAGCCCTAAATATTTAAGCGTCATTTGGCCGCCATTTTCAGGAGGGATTTTGGTTTTGTAGCACCGTTATCGTTGCTTCGCATAACTGGTCACACTTTTCGTGATTTTAGTATAACGAAGTTCAGTATCGAGTAAATCCAGGTGGTGTGCCGATGCCTCGTGTGCCACAAAACGCTTTGCCTCCTGAGTTAGCTCAACTTTTCCACGGCATAAACAAACCTCCAGGGCAACCGGTGCAACATGTGAATGCTCCCGTTCCATCCATGATGCCACCTCTAGTGAACGTAGGCGTAAGTGTATTAGGTGTTTCCTGTTTCTGTCAGACAGCTTGTGACACTGCTGTTTTTAGCCTTCGAGCTTAAACGGTGCCGGCCCGGGAACGGCAGCCATTCGAAATGTTATGCCGTATCCCCCTGGTCCAGCGATGACCATGCCGGTCATGCGTTCTGGTGTCGAGAACATGCCGGCCGTTTTGGACCCGTCTTCGATGGTTCGTGGTAGAGCATGCGTTATGCCCTCTACCGTTCTGTACAATGGACCCATAGTTGCTCCCTCCGGTAAGGACAGTTGAGATCGTTTTACGTTTTAGATACTGAGGCGCTTGATTTTCAGTTGCTGCTGGTAACAGGATGCCTGGAAATTGGAATGCACTTCCGCCTACAGGCCCGCCCGGTAGTAGCAGTTTACACTTGCCTCGAAGCGTAACGCGCATTTGTTGTTTAGGACTACTGGGCAACGCGCCAGCGATGCCACCATCAGCACCTTTCGTGCCTGCCAACGTTCGTCCTTGCTACCTCTCAGTCCCTCCGCCTGCGGCATATAGACATCCTAATGTCAGAAGTCGCCAGCGTGCTCCCAATACCCCATTAGACAGTAGGCCGCCGTGCCAATTCTTCCTCCAAGGTCGATGCAACTACGGTGATCGGTGCCATTTCCCGCATGTTATCCCACCTAACACGTTGTCAGTGCCTCAGATGCGTCCAGCCTTGCCCTCGTCTAATAGCTCTTGTTCAGAGCTGCCACCTTCTGATTCAGTCAAGGATGCAAGTCCAGCAACGAGCAAAGACGAGTGACTCTCGCTTGTTTTAACTATTATTTCTGTTAAACATCTGAGACGCATTCCCTGTTAGGAATAAGAAGTACTTTTACTTGTTTTCTGTAAGATTATATTGTTTACCGCAGTCATGTAAAGTGTTTGCACGTTGTAGTATCGTTTGAAAGTTTACTTTGGTTTAAACTCGTTATTTCTTTTAGTAAAATACACTTTTGTTTCACGTGTATTTTGTTCAGTCTTAGACTTCGTATTTGTTGTTTGTGTTCGTGTTATTGAAGTTGCATAACCGCATTAAAAGTTTCCAAGCACTGGTGAGGTCTGCCTGTCATCTTAGTAACTGCTTGATTTAAAAAGCCTAATTACAGAACCCTGTGTGGAGATGATATTGTTCTTCTGAATAGTACTGCAAGGGAACTTCACCACCATATGGCTTCTATATACAGCGCATTTACCAACGCTGATCCCTTGAGTAAAGTCAGAGGTAGTGAGGCAGCTACTGAATGCAATAGACTAAAGATGGTATAAAACGGCGGAGAAGGTCGATGAGATCAAGTATTTGCTTTTGATTATCGCTAAATAGAGTGTCACAGAAATTGCGCTTAGCAACAGATTCGAGCTTGTCTTCACGGTTGCTTTATTGAAGATGCTAACTGAAGGATGAATGGCCCCAAATCATGACATGCATATAGCATGTCTGGGTTATGTCAGGGATGTTATGCAGGGTAGAAACCGTCATTTTAACGATCAGCGACATCGTCGACAGTGCTGGGTTCATTGTAATATAATAGAGGCTATTGTAATAACTGATTTCTCTTGCAGATATGCTTGCTAAATACGCATATTAAAAACGTCGTTTTCCCGTTTTATGCCATATCGTTCAGCCTAAACCCTTTAATCTGGCTTATGATTTTTCGATATGGATGTGGTTCCCAGAAGTTGTTCAGAAACCGAGTTTTTCGATATCTTGCTTCATACATGAAGACATTATTTCGGCGGCAGTTACAGAATAATTGCGTTTTCCCAATACTTGAAAAGAGTTTTTGACTTTTGAGTCACGGATACAAACACCACTATTTTGGTAGAAATAAGAACGAAAAAAGTCAAGGTTACACCGTATGCTGATTATTATCCTGAATATCAATCCATCGGGTTGGTAAAGGCTAAGTGCAGCTGCAAGGGGCGATCGCATCTGAGGGTGTAGCCGTAGACCTCATCCATTCTGACATGATCAGTCCAGAACATTGTGTCCTTTCTACATTTCACCGACAGACTACCCATTTCTCTGCTGGTAGCAGAGAGACCAATGCAAAGTG